ATGTTTTAGAACTGCGATGTTTTCTCTTTGCGATGTTTTCTCCCCACGATGTTTTGTAGCACGACGTTTTTGCCTTGCGTTGTTTTCTTTTTTTTTGCTTCTTTTTTTGAACGTTTTCGATGTTCTTTTCTGTTTTTGAACGTTTTTTGTTTTCTCTTTTTCGTTTTGATGTTTTGCGTTTTGCCTAAGTGCCTTTGCACGCGTTTTTGCTTGCGTTGTTTTCCGCACGTTGTTTTGCCGCGATGTTTCGGCTGTAACTTCTGAAATAGTAATCAGAAAGTTTGTGTTGCCACAAATATTTTATAATTTAATCCGCTTTGCGACAAAAGTTTTCGTCATGTTTCCATCTTGCGCGCACATTTTAAAACATTCTGTTTCATAATTTAATTCCATATTTAATATATATCTTTTATAACTTTTGGAAACTACTGTAAACCAAAAATCCTACGAATTTCACGTTTAATTTTTATTTTATTTGGAGTTGAGTTTATAAAATGTATTTTATTAAAAAAATCTGTAATGTTTTCGTGCATAAAATGTTTTAATATTAAAATATTCATCAAATTTTTGTTTCAGTTACAAAATAGTGCCCATATAAAGAATTCCATTAAATTTCAAGTATGTAGCAATAGCCATTCTTAAAATAGCATTTGTGATTTTGTCACAAAGCGGATTAAATTACAAAACTATTTGTGGCAACACAGACTTTCTAGTTACTAGTTCCCAAAGCAGCTATATTATGTAGTCAGCTGTAAAACGTTGGAAGTAATTGCTTTCAAAATAAATAAAATTTCTCAAATCTTGCAGAGCCCCCTTAAGGAGATACACATGGAATTAATAATCAGCCATGGAAATGAAACTTTGTCGCCTTTTCCCCAACTTGAAATATAAAAATTTGTTAACTTTGAATATTTTTTTTTTCAACCACTAAGTATAATTATTAATTTTTGCTAAGTCTCCTTCACAAATGGGACTATAATTCAAATTTAAAATAATACATTACAATGTTGATATTCTTCTCTGTAGTTAAAAATATTATTGTTTGTTATGTTATTTGAACGCAGCTTTTAAGCCTATAATGTACGAATTTCCCACTAGCCCATTGTGGGTAAACTACTGAAAAAGGAAAAAAAAAAAGAAGAAAAAAAAAAACGTGTAAAACTAATAAAGTTTGACGGCGTTACAGAACAGGAAAAGCTATACTACCATTGTGATTATCTAAGTATCTTATAAATATCAAAATTCGGTATCGAATACAGAACTTTCAATAACAAATGCTTGTTGGGGAAAATTACAAATAGCTGTATTATAAATAGCTTAGATCGCATCCCTAACACCAAGCACAGAAGGAGGAAAGTATTGAAGCAGTGAATAAAATGGACATTAAAAATTATCTTGTGCAATGATTTTCAGGGTTTACTAAGGGTGTATCATATTGAAAGAGTGTATCGCAGTTTCGAATGGATCCTTTTCTTTCCCTTCTAGATTTCCAAACTGTATTTCCGCTTTATCCATCATAGGCAGTGAAAATATTATACTAAATTTTCCAATAAGAGTAAAAGATGAGTGATTTTTTTTTCCTCTTCTGGTAGAACTGCTAAAAAATTACATTCTTATGTTTTGTCTACTCATTGAAGATAACTTGAAGTAAGACGCATTTAAAACTTACTTAAAACCCAGGAAAATTACATAAGGCAATGGGAAAGAGAAACAAGTAATACAATATAATTCTCTGCTATTTTCAGTGACCTAAATATCGATTTATGCGTTTTACTGAATTAATTTCTTTATGAAACCCAATTAGCACCTAAATAACGCTTCAGTATCTGTTAGCAGTGCTATCATTTGAATTCATATTGATTCAATTTAATTTTAAAGACTTTTTTCTTCAGAAACATAAAATAATAAAATTATATTTTATTTTCATAAACACATAACACGTTCTTATTTACATTAAAATAAAGTTAATTTTGCAGATTAGGTATTAACACCAAATTAATAATTTCTTTTATTTAATTTTATTACACTAGATTAAATGAAGAAATTGTTTTTTATTTCCATGAAATGTTAAACATAACGTATATTTATATCTTTCATAGTTAATTATTAACAAAGTAACCGACTGAAAAGTCTATTATTATGAATCTATAAAGGTGCAGGTGGAAGTGAGCCAGATAACTGAAATTCACCATTGCTCCTATAGGTATGGTCCCGGCACAGTAAGTGTGCAACTTAATAATTACTAGCTAGACCGAGAAATTTCTCTAGCTAGACTCATTAAATTCATTATAAATTTCCTTTTTTTTACTCCCTTGTACGAAGTAAAGGAAGCATTGTAATCACGAAAAATTTAGGGTATCATATTTCAAAGAAAATATCCATTTTAATCCTTTATAATCCATTTGAACAATGTTTTTGCGTGGCATCTGCACGTACGGACAAAATAAGGCCTCTTTTTCCCAAAACAGATCGTAAAATGGATTCAAAATGTATTCAAGAGAGATCCTGACGTCTGTATGTGCGTATGTAAGTATCCCGCATAACTCAAAAAGGAATCTTAGAAAGTTGATACATTTTGTATATGGGACTGCTAGAATATGTAGCTGTGCACCTCCATTTTTGGTTGCAATTGACCAAACCAAAAAAAGTATATATATATATATATATAGAAACAACATAGTTTTAATCACTTTTAAAGCAAAAAAATGCACAATTTACCAACATATAAGAATAAAAAATCTTAGCTCGCCGAGCTGGGTAACAGAGTGGATATATATATATATATATTCTTATATGTTGGTAAATTGTGCATTTTTTGCTTTAAAAGTGATTAAACTATGTTGTTCTTATATTCTGGTTAACGTTTTTATGCCTTTAGTTAATCTGCATTTTATAGTTAGAGAATTATTAACAATTTATAGGTTATTAAAGTGCTACTAAGACTAACGAAGCCGTCATTATATTTGAAACTTATAGTAGAAAAGTATGAATTAAGTCAGTTTCATGCACGGAAAAATCTGTCTTCCTGCCCACTGGCCGAATGCTTGTTTTTGCGTACAAACTCTAATTTTAATTTCAATTTTTTTAACTGTTTTTAACTGTATCTGGTGTTTTATGTTTTCCTGCATTTTACAATTTTTAATGAAGATATTTTGAGTTTTTATGTATTTTTGCCTTGCCGCGAAGAGAGAACTGAATTCATTGAATGAGCAGAGCCGTTCCTAGGCCATTGGCTGCCTGCGTACTTTCCTAAGATTGTTGGCCCTAAATTTAAAAAAGAATGCTGAATTATTAATAAATTTTTTATTCCATTCTCATATACTTCTATATGGCAAACTGTATAAAAAGGAATTACATATGGCAAGTACTTAACAATGAATTTTAAATATTTAGGCGTGGTATCGCAAGAGTACTGCAGCCGCCGATTTTGGCCGCACTCCCGCTAGTAACAGCCCCGTGAATGAGAAATCTATCTCTAATGAAATTCGAGGAAATAAGTTTAAATGGCATGCAGCAAAAAATATGTATAATTTAACAGGCCGTGCAGGGAAGTCACGTAGTGTCCACATCAGATTTTTATTATGAGTGACTAGCCTCAAGCGGCTAGTTGAACTAACATTAAAAGACGAAATTAATATCTATCGGTGCACTGTAATGAAGTAATAAATTCAACAATATAATAAGTAGCAAATTTTAAAATTATATATCATCTTTTTATATTATTTTAATGAATGAAAAAATAAAATACATTTGAATAAATTAACAACAAGCTTAACAAAGCAATCTGAATAACTGGTGTTCCAGATGCCTAGAATTCAGATAATTGAATTCAGCTCTATATTATATCTTCCATAGACTAGAATTTAGATTACGGGGAAAGTATATTTCAGTATTTCATCATGTTGCTGGTGCTAAGAATGCAGAGCATTCATGACAGACAGTGAATGCTCGATTATATTAATGCGATTTTTTTTAACCTTTCATTTTTAAATCAAAATTTTAATGTATAATAAAGCAACATAAAAGGTGTCTAGGAGGAAAAGGTCCATACAAACACTATTTGAACCATACCCGAGTGAATGGTGAAGCGCTTCAAGAAGATTATAATGCCTGATGACCGAGGTCCAAAGGCCTGCTATAGCACATTAGTAATGAAAATTTCTGGAAGGTGGTAGCGATGAGAATAAATCAAGATAGTAATAACAAAAACTTAATTCCAGTCTACGGATTTCAGATAAGAGTCTAACACCTCCATTAAAATTTTTAAAAAGTTAGTAAAATATTTAAACATTTAAAAAATATGTAAATCATAAAATAAAAAAAAGTGCAACTGAATCTTTGTATGTTTAGTTTAAACAATTTTAAATAAAGAGCTAGATTACCCATTTAGTTTAAGAATTAGTTCCCAAGGAAGCCAAGATATGTAAACATAAAATCATGTTTTTAAAGCAAATTGTTAAAAATAGTAATATCAAATAGGAACGTAAAAAACTTGCTGTAATTATTTACGATGTATTATTCTTTTATTTCATTGGATCATCTGAGCACGAAAGTTGCTAGCACTATTTCTCGCAAGTGCCAAAACTTTCCATTTTTTTAGGATGTCGAATCAATCCACTTACAGAAAACAATAAATCCCTTTGGATTCACTTAGTGCGAAATCAAGTTATTCTACTACTTGCGCAATAGCTCCAAAGGAAATTCTTTTAGGTGTCACTTATTTATTTTACCGGAGCGTAAATAGGGTGGGGCAAAGGGGAACACTTGTCCCCGGGCGCAGCCTCCAGGGGGCGCGAAATTGATATAACGAAATTTCAGAAGGAAATGCTTTCTATTCTTGGCACACAGAAAGGGGCGCAAAATCTTTAGTTGTCCCCGGGAGTTGAAAACCCTAGCTACGCCATCTGTTTATTTATTTATTTATTTGTTTTTTAATTTCATTTTAATACCCCAGAAGAAGTTTGCTTTGAAGTGCTTAAAAGTGAAATGACGTCCAATACCTGAATATGCCACCATATTTTCTTTTGAGTTGGTCCAGATCTCTGAATGGTTCAGATGAAAGGAACGGTAAATATCCCACCAGTGGTAATCCAGTTGGTCCAGGAGGTAATTTGTAAGATTTTCTTCGACGAAATATCAGGTAAACGCTCAGGAAAACTGCACAAAGAGTGAGCAAAATACTAAACGAATGATATTCCAGCGCACTTTGCGCTGTTTGAATACAAGAACCCAATAAAGACTTAAATACCATCATTCCTCTCTTCCAAGACAAAAGAAAATAGACTTGTTTTGTCATTAAAGTTACTCGTTATCAATGAGACAATACTGTTTTATCAAGCATGGAATGTGATCAGCAGAATTATCTCACTATCTTAACTTACACAGGAGCTAAAGTTAACAGTTAATTTCAGATCAGACATCTTATATTTTAAACAAAATAACTAGAAATACAATTTGAACTCGTTTAAAAAGAGAATCGCGTTTAAGCGTATAGTTCAACTAATATCTTTTTTTCAAAATTTATTTATCATTTTGCAATTTTTTATTATTAATGATTGATTATTTAATTTTTTATTTACTTTTATTCATTTTTCTAGTAGGGAGATTCTATGGAGTTTCGGAATTTCTGATTTTGGAAACTGAATCACAGTAAAAGATTATAGCAAAGAAAGATTATAGCAAGTAGCCCCTTATTATTTGGGAATGTTGGAATTCATTTACTTCAAGAAGTCAACGTACACAAAGGACATTTTTAATCAACATACTAGAACCAAAAAAACAAAAGTTTGTTGAGCCTTTAAATTGCAATTCAAAAAAGGAATGCATTATTTTGCTCTAACACTAGGTTTCTTTCTTACAGCGTAACATATGTATCGCAACTTCGAATGTAACACAAAAATCAAGTTTCTCGCAGAATATATTTCAGCGCCAATTCTATCTGTCGCCAAGTATTTCTTAGCTAATACAAAACAGTAAAAGCATCATCTTATATTCGACCTTGCACCATAATCATATAATAAGGTAATCTGGACTGCAAGCATAAAATTAAAATGCATTTCTTTTTCTGAAACACGTAAATGTAGTTCAGCAGAACATTTAAAGGGCCCCCTAAGCCTTCGGGCCCCTAAGCGACGGCATTCCTTGCATACCGTTATTTACAACGAGGTTATTTACGCCACTGATCATTTAATCTAATGCAATGCTATTCTTAAGCGAGGCTAAGAATAAACAACGCAAGAATAAAATCTAATGCTTTTTAACCTTAATTGCTACAAATTTTTATTTCGTAATTCAAGGTAGAATAATTTTCAGACCTCGCTGAAAATGCCTTTAAAACGTCGAAATAAGTGTTGAATACAGTTATCTGAATTAATATGTTTTGCGTCACAGATTCAGAAAATACCTGACGAAAAACTAAAATTACTCAAATATGCTGAATTTTTCGAAACTTTATCAGGCAACAGAATAAAATCAACGAATGGATTCACATAAGATAACATAAGTGCAGATTGCCTTATCTTCTAACGCAAGAGCTTTTACATGGTAGAGAATTTTATTTGGCTTTCGAAACCGGTTTAAGTTGCTAATATCGATTGACAAGTAAATTATTTTCCCGTTGATCAATGCGACAAAAATTCTTGTTGTACAACTTATGATGTGTATCCATGGTGTAGTGGTTATCACATCCGCCTAACACGCGGAAGGTCCCAGGTCCGAAACCTGGTGGGTACAGTGGTTCATTGTAAGTTTTGAGGAAGACCAAAGAAAAGTAAAAATTCGGATTGAAGTCTGAAATCTGAAGATTTTTCCTCTTTTAAAATATTCTAGTGTCCCTTTAATAAAAACTGAAAAGTATTTTTTTAAATGTTTCAGTTTTAGCATAATTAGTAAGCATTAGTAAAATTTTAAGAAATACTAATTTATGTTACGATTAATAAATAGTAGAAGACAATATCATTCAGGTTTACTTTCAGTGTGGGAAAAAAAGTTTTTACTGTTGTTTTTTCAACACTAAGACTACTCTTTCGAAATTTGTTCAGTGCTTCTTTCACATTCAAATTAATGACACATTGCATTAATGTTTCCAGTTTACTAAGCTTCACACTGAATTGTATTTCCTGCACTGATTTTTGCGTCTTATTTTGGAATTCAATTATTTTATTTATTTTACCTGATTAGCGTAATTTATTCATGTTACATGGAATTCCATAATTCATTTCCATAATTTATGCTACTCCTACAGAAAGGGAAAGTCTATTTGTTTATTTTTTGATTTATTCATTATATTTATTTATTTGTTTCCGAAAAATTTTAATTGCATATTTTATTCATTTTTTTAAAATTTTATTTTAAAAAAATTAAACTATGTATTTTATTCTATAACCTTTTTCAATAAATCTTACAGTAATTCATTGGAATATTATAAAATTGCACACGGTGTTCAAAAAAGATGGCTATAGGCTGTATTTCCTTTAATTTTCTGTTATAGTTTCTTAAAAAAAAGTCAATTTTATGAAACAGTTTCAATAAACGAATGGAAGAATTCTATGAATGGAAAACTTAATTTATAGTATCCATACATTCCAAAATCAAATCAATAGAATGTTCATTATGCTGTAATAAGTTAATTAGAAAAGGTTGCAAACTTTTGTGTCAATATTAGGTAAACCAAATTTTTGACCACATTTAGAAAGATCACAAAAATTGCTCATTTTGGCAATTAATGATTTCGCATTAGGCAAAACTGTGCTCATTATTAACTTTATAGCTAGTTCTATAAAAACAAAAACCTCTTATCTATTAATGTCTGCTGGAATTATTAATAATTTCTTATAAATGTGTGGAATATAAAACATACTAACTGGATTTTTTTGTCCTACACTGATCATATAAAAAGTTAAATTTTGTGTTTACAGAACTCTTATATCCTTAGCACTAAAATTCTTTCATAAAATACTCTGCTCTATTTAAAAAACACTTTTTGAGTGGAAGTGCCTTTATCTACGATCAATAAATAAGAAAATAAAGCCTGTAACCTGCATAAGTCTTTGTAAGTTAAATAATTATTCAAAACAATGTGAATTATATAACAAAAATATTTTATATATTTTCATATTTTTTAAATATAATTTTTCAAACGATAGTTTTTTTGCATCTTTGACTTGTTCCATAAACACTATATCATATGTTTCACCGCTGCAGTCTATTATACCAAGACCATCAGATTTAAGCTTGTGTCAGAAATATTTTTAAACAGTTTTTATTTTTTTTTTATTTTATTTATTTATTTATTTATTTTTTTTTTTTTTGTTTCGATGAAGTCTATAAATGATTCCACCACCACGAGAACTATATTTGAACATACCGATATAGATTCCAACTTACTAGGCGTTGTTGCAATTTGATTTAGTCAACAATCTTCGTATTTACGAAAGGAGAAGCACGGGAAGCTGTCAAACTCGAAAAATTAACTACAGGTACCAGGATATCAATTTCCTGTTTTTGCACTATCTCAGCTTCTTGATTTCAGCAGCAATAGCATCTGAAGAATTAACATCCGACGCGGAGTTTGACGTTTTGGAACTAAGAACTTTTTGAATGTTTTGGAAAGACCCCATATTTTAGGATGGAATCTGTTTATTTATTTATTTTTTTTATTATTATTTTCGTTTTGGCTTTTCTTTTATTTCGGCAAGAAGCCCCCCCTTTTCTTCAAGCTTTTTATTTTTAGAAAGAAACAATTAAATCATTGTTATTATAACTTGATCGCTCTTCTTATTATTATTTAGTATTAATATTTAGATGTAAATATTATTATATTAATATTTCTATATTCTAGATTACAAATTAAGAGATTATAATGTTTCTCTTACTAAATTTGTTATATAACAATAAAATCATTGTATGGCTATTTCAGCATTTGGCTTATGACTAGTGACAAGGCTGTTGACAACTTTAAATCGACCGTAAGTAATTCAAAACAATCCATCCAAGATAATTGACTTTAAATTATACCTGATATTTTCAATTATTTATTTATTAATTCCAATTAATTACTTGAGAAATTTTATTTAATAAATCAATTAATGAATGTGATCATTTAAAACCTGCAATAATTTTTTTTTCGATCAATGATCAATTGTCACCAGTATTAATAGACGGAGATAAATTATGGTCAGATCACCTGCCGTGTACCCAATTTAAGATATTAAAAACAGGAAACGCTAATAATAATTCATACCTATACCTGTACAGGTATGTGTTAGTCACAGTGTATGTATCTTGTGTGTCCTTATTTGTGTGTATTTAGGCAAGCAAACTTATATTTTTCTACACTCTGTTTAGAAAACTGACACTTGCTTTTGCGTTATAAGCAGTAATGTTATGAGATTTGAGGCCACCAAGAGACTGAAGTGCATATCTCACGGTGGTAAGTGATCGTGACGAGAAGTAACTGGTAAGTGGCCGTAAAGCTGAGGACAAAATCTCGTATAACCTGAAGTATACTACAGTGGGTACAAAAAGTATTTGCACACATACATTTTTGTTCACAATTTATAAGAAAATGCATTAAGAAATACAAAAATTGGCATTTAAAAATAGAATAAGCTTATTCATTTAAATTAATTACAAAAAATACAATAATATTAATAAAAAACATTTTTTGCAACAATATTAAAATAGCTTATGTCAAAAAAGTATTTGCACACTCGACTCCACTTTAGCAAATTTGCATTTTTATGCTATTATTTGACAGTCATCCCGCAGTAAATAACATACGTAAGACGACTATAAAGATAGGAGTGTTGTCGAAACGTTATCAAGTTGATTGTCGATTTCAAATTGTAATGGCACCTAAGAAATCTGAATTGCCGATTTCGTTGCGAGAAAAAAAAATTGTTTCTCTACGTGAAAATGGCCTAAATTATCGAGAAATAGGTAGAAAAGTAAATGTTTGCTTCTCTACTGTTCGGTATATTATAAAACGTCATAAAGAAAGAGGATCTACATCAAATAACTTGCGCTCTGGACGCCCAAAGAAACTTTCACTGCGAATAAAGCGAATATTCATAAGAGAAGCATCGAAAAATCCCTTTGCTAGTGCAATTACTTTAGCCAATGATGTCGCTTCAACATCTGGAGTTCAAATCTGTGCCCAAAGTGTTCGAAATGTCCTGCACGATGCACATATTTATGGGAGATCTCCAAGGAAAAAACCTCTCATAACTGAACGAAATAGACTGAAGAGACTTGAGTTCGCTAAGGAAT